GCTAGGCAGGGATCCTCAAGGAAAAGTGTCCTCGTGGCAGTTCTGCTTAAAGGTGGTGACGAGAGCACGTCTATTTCAGGTGGCACCTGTTTCACGGAGCTAGTGTGAGGATTAACTTCAAAATCCATAGAAAGGAGCACTTCAGTGTGCTTGGCAGAGAAGTACTGCCACTAGTCCCTGGTGTTGGGTAATTTGTTATCGCTCACTACGTTGCTGATGCATGGGACATACTGTCCCCGCCGTAGACAAATGAAGTCCAGAATGGAAGAAGTTGATCTGGTGTGATGCTATTGCCCAGAAAACAAACTTGCCATGAAAAGTTAATCTTTTCAATGATAGGTTATTTTTCCCACAGAATGATCTCATGATGATTTTTAAATCATGACTAAGGTGACCAGGCATCCCGCTTTTGGGGGACAGTCCCGCTTTTTAAAATTTTTTCCCGTGTCCCGCAGCATTTTTAAAAAGTCCCGATTTTTGGAAAGAATGCACGACAAGCTAGGCTATACGGTTTCCGGCTGCCATGTGCCTATTCCGCCAGGATAGGAGTTTTATCAGTGGTGTCCCGCTTTTGTCCTGCTTTACCAATGTTAAAATCTGGTCACCTTAATCATGACCGTATTTGCTTTTTTAAAAACGATATATCTAGGCAGTGAGTTTTGGGGAGTTTGAGAACACATACAAAAGGGCTTCAAAAAACATATGGAAATTTTCCGTTATCTGTTCATTACGCTTTGCCACAGATGTTCTGTGGTCCCTCGTATGTTGTTGCGTTGCGGGTAGGTGGCATCGAGTCCGTTCTGACTCACGGCGACCCTCTGTACAGCAGCAGGAAACTGCCCCGGCCTGGGCCTCCTCACGGTGGTCCCGTACTGGGGCCTGTTGGCACAGCCACTGTGCCAATTCATCTTGTCAGTGGTCTTCCCCTGTCACCCACCCCCTGCTTTCCCAAGCATGATGTCCTTCTCCAGGGACTGGGCTCTGCTGATAACATGGCCACAGTCCTTGAGATGAAGTCTTGCCATTCTTTCCTCTAAGGAGCCTTCTGGCTGTACTTCTTCCCTCGGATATTACCAAAGTATAGCTATAACTTTTTTCATCATGATACACAATTCCAATGATTTATCATTTTCACTCAAAAGAGAATTGCAGTTGATCTTGCCTTTGTTTAGAGACAACTAAGCCCCGAGGAATCCTGGTGGCACAGTGGTTCTAAGTGCCCAGCCAGAGGCTGGTGGGTTGAGCCCTGCAGGGACAGCGAGGGGGAATCCAGTGGCAGTTGTTTCCAGAAAGCTATGTAGGGCAGCTCTACTCTACCCCGTGGAGTCAACGTGGGCAACGAGTAACAAAGTATCTCCTTCATGGACACAAGCGCCATGCTAGTTCCATCCCATAAGTGTATGACATTGAACTTAAATCATAGCCCCCCAAATAGCTCTCATTTATTGAGTACCTCTGCCAGGCATTGGATTAGGCATTTTATGTAATTTGTCCACACAACAATCCCATCACCCCCCACCCAAATAAAGCCATATCAAGTCCACTGCCATTGAGAGGCCATTCTGACCCTTAGAGAGCATGTATGGGGTTTCTGAAGCTGTCTATCTTTAAGGGCGCAGATAACCTCATCTTTCTCCTTCAAAGCGGCCTGTGGGGTTGAACCACTGCCCTTGCAGTAAACAGTCCAAGGCTTATCTAATAGTGTCACCAGGGCTCCTTAACAATCCTAAACAGGTGCATTGGTAATTTTATTCATTTTTCAGATAAAAAAACTGAGGCTCAGTGAGAAAAGTTGTCCATGTTTCTCCAGCTAGTGAAACTGAGCTGAGTGTAAACCTATCTGACTCAGAATCTGGCTCATTGTTCCTTCCTTCCTTCTCAGGAAAAGACAAGCAGCATTTCTTGGTTTTAGTTTGAAAATAGCATTCATAAACATTAACTACGAAGTAAACTTTTATGATAATTAATAGCACTCTAAGGAGCCCTAGGGACTCGGCGGGGTAAGAATTGGGATGCTAACCACAAGGTCAGTGGTTCAAACCCACCAGCCACTCTGGGGGAAGAAGGTGGGGCAGGTTTACAGCCTCACAAACCCTATGGAACATCTCCACTCTGTCCTGGAGGGTACCATGAGCCAATCAATATCTATTTCATAGCAATGGGTTTAATTTTGGAGGTTTTGAAAAAGCATTTTCCCTGGGACATAATCCACACATATCACACAATTCAATAGTTCAATCATATCAAGAAAAGTTGAATAATCATTACACAATCCATTTCAGAACATTGTCTTCTTTCTTATACTCCTTGTTATTAGCTTCCCATTTCCCCCAACCTCCCGGTCATACTCCTGAGAACTGTTAACCCAGTTACTGTCTCTATAGCTAGCCCTGTCGTGGATGCCATAGACTGAAAAACCTATACAAACAAAGAAACAAAAACACTAATAAAAACAATAACAAGTTAGGGGAAAACCTCAACGGCAAAGAAAGCAGAAAATATTAAAAACCCAAACAACTTTAAAATGGGTCAAAACGGAAATCAAGTGATACAGTGGTGGCTTGTGTGTTGATGGGACTCTGGAAGCTATGTCACTGGTATGTCACAGGCCAGCAAGGTCACCCAAGGTGAACAGGTTTCCGTGGAGCTTCCAGACTAAGAACAGGCAACGAAGGAGGACTCGGCTCCCCACTTCGGAGGAAGGACCCCCTGAAAACCTTATGCATGGCTTCAAAATGTTGTCAGATACGGAAGGTCCAGTGGATGGCAATAGAACCTTGCTGGAGGATGGACTCTCAGGTCAGAGGGCACTGGAAAGGGACTGAGGAGGAGCCGGTTTCTCAGAATGGAGCCAGCCATGACGCCATGAGTCAGGCAGAACCTGTGGAAGTGACGCCTTCGGGCTCTTCACGAATCAAAGTGAGCTGAAACAACTGCAAATAGCTGCTAATGATCAGAACTTGGAACGTGTGACATATGCATTTAGGAAAATTGGAAGTCGCCAAAAATGAAATTGAATGCATAGAGATTGATAGCCTAGGCATTAGTGAGACTGGTGGTACTGGCCATTTTGAATCAGGGTCACATGACTTACTATGCGAGAAACAACACAATCAAGAGGAACGGCCCAGCATGCATTGTTCAAAAAGGACATTGCAAAGCTCACCATGAAGTACAGTGCTGTCCGTGATAGGATTGTTATCTATCCGCTCTCGAGGAAATCCCTCAATACAACTATTACTCAACTTGATGTACCAAATCTAGGGAGGAAGAAATTGGAGAATTCTACTAATGACTTTAGTCAGAAATTGATCAAAGATGCAGTCAAGATGAATGGATAATTATTGGTGACTGGAAGGAATGCAAGAGTTAGAAACAGTAGCTGGAAAATGTGGATTTGATGATAGAAGCTGGAGATCTAATGTTAGAATTTTGTAAAACCAACGACTTGTTCATAGCAAATACTTCTTCATAAAACAATATGAAACGTGACTATATACATCGATGGAATACAATTGACTACATCTGTGGAGAAGACCAATACCAGCAGCTAAAACCAGGCCAAGGGCAGACTGTGGAACAGACCACCGTTGCTCCTATATAAGTTCAGGTTGAAGCCGAAGAAAATGAAAATGTCCATAAGAACCAAATAAAACCTTGAGTTCATTCCATGTGAATTTTGAGCGCATCTCAAGAACAGTCTTAACACATTGAACGCTAAGGACAGAAGGCCTGATGAGCTGTGGGAGGACATAAGACCATCATTCATGAAGAAAGCAAAAGGTCATTTAAGAGACAGGAAAGAAGTAAAAGATCAACGTGGATGTCAGAAGCGACTATGAAACTTGCTCTTAATCATAGAGTAACTAAAACAAATGGAAGAAATGATGGCGTCAAAGAGCTGAATAGAATGTTTCAAAGGGCAGTGTACGAAGATATCGTCAGAGGATAATGAAATATGAAAAGACCTAGACTTAGAAAACCCAAAGGGAAGAACACACTCAGCATATCTTAAACTGAAAGAACTCAAGAAAAAAATTCCAGCTTCAAGTTGCAATCTTGAAAGATTCTCTGGGAAAGATAATGAATGATGCAGGCAGCATCAAGAGAAGATGGAAGGAATGCACAATTACTGTACGGAAAAGAACTAGGTGACGTTCCACCATTTCAAGAGGTGGCATATGAGCAAGAACTATCGGTGCTGAAGGAAAAAGTTCAAGCTGCACAGAATCCACTAGCCAAAAACAAGGTTTCAGGAATTGATAGACACTAATTGAAATGTTTCGACAAGCTGATGAAGCACTGGAATTACTCGTGTATGCCAGGATTTGTAAGACAGCTACTTGGCCAACTGACTGGAAGAGATCCATATTTGTGCCCTTTCCAAAGAAGCATCCCAATAGAATGCTCAAATGATACACCAATGTCATTGATATCACATGCAAGTAAAATGTTGCTGAAGATCATCCAACAAGGGTTACAGGAGTACACTGACAGGGAGCTGCCAGATTCAGAAGAAGATGTGGAGCAAGGAATATCACTGCTGATATTAGATGGGTCCTGGCTGAAAGCAAAGAATAACAGATGTTTACTTGTGTTGGACTATGCCAAGGCACTTGACTATGTGGACCACAGTAAACTATGGACAACCTTGAGAAGAATGGGAATTCCAGAACACTTCAGTGTGCTCATGTGGAACTTGTACGTGGACCAAGAGGCAGTTGTACGAACAGAACTAGGGAATGCCGTGGGGTTTAAAATCAGGAAAGTGTGCATCAGGGCTGTCCCCTCGCACCATACTCATTCAGTCTGTATGCTAACAAATAAGATGGATTATGTGAAGAATAGTGTAGCAACGAGATTGGAGGAAGGCTTATTAACAATCTGCAATAGGCAGATAATGCAACCTTGCTTGCTGAAAGCTAGGACTTGAAGCACTTGCTGCTGAAGATGAAGGATTATAGTCTTCAGTGTGGGCTGCAACTCCATGTTAGGAAAACCAGAATCCTCACAACTGTACCAGTGGGTACCATCATGATAAATGGAGAGAGGGTACAAGTTGTCAAGGATTTTGTCATGCTTGGATGAATAATCAATGCATAGAAGCAGCAGTCAAGAGATGAGAAGATGAGTTGCATTAGGTAAATCTGCTGCACAAGCCCTTTTTAAAATATGGAAGAACAGGAGGTCACATTGAGGACTAATGTGCGTCGGATTTAAGCCAGGGTATTTTCTATTGCCTCAAGTGCAGGTGGAAGATGGGCACTGAAGAAGAACTGATGCGTTTAAATTGTGCGGAAGAAGGATATTGAAAGTACCGTGGACTGCGAAGAGGACAAACAAACCCGTCTTGCAAGTACAGCCAGAGTGCTCCTTGGAGGCAAGGAGGGAGACTTCCTCTTACCTACTTCGGACATACTGTCAGGAGAGACTGATCCCTGGAGAAGGACATCATGCTTTGTAAAGTGGAGGGGCAGTGAACAAGAGGAAGGCCCTTAAAGAAGTGGATTGGCACAGTGGTTCAACAATGGGCGCAGGCAGAGGCACAATTGTGAGGCTGGCGCAGGAAGGGGTTCCCCTCGTGTGCATAGGATGGCTATGGGTCAGTCGACTGGATGACGCCTCACATCTGTCAGAACCCACGTTCCAACGTACTCTGCATGGTAGCGAGGCTCTTCGCAGCCCTGGTCGGTGTTCCGTCCAGTTCCCCTCCACGTTTCTTAGAAAAACGGATTCAGTTTTGTTTTTAATAGAGCTACAGAAGTGTTCTGTACTTTTCTGTCTGTAGGTTATACTTCAATAAAAGCGGGCTTAAAGGGGGAGAGACATAGATGGCAGTTAAGCCAATGCACCATCACTCAGATTCACATTGTGAAGTGCTGGAGGGGAGGAAGTGGAATGAGAAAAAGGCTCATTTTTAGATAAAGATCCAAGTGGATTTTATTTCTTTTCAAAATGGTAAAATGAGATTTCGGGCTATTGCAACACAAATGGAATTTGTTCTGGAGATTTTACCTGAATTTTATCAATCGCCACAGCTATGCGTAATGATGAAGTGATAGTTTCATTCACCCTCTGAGGTGGGGGAGGGGTCTTTTGATATTTGGCAAGTTCATGACCAAGTAGTGATGAGGTAGATCCTTTTTTAATTTCACTTAATAGTTACGAGACTGTCTTTGTCTTCTTGTGACAGGTTGCGTGAAGAGAAAATGAGAGAAAAACAAAAACACCAGGAAGAACGGCTAAAAGCGGCTCTGGAAAGGGCCGTCGCACAACCAAAGAAAAAGGTCTGTGGTTCGTGGTCACAGCAATGCCAATGTGTGCGGTGCTTGGGTGGGGGGAAGCCACCCGATCCATCTAGTGCCTTCAGGAAAATAATTCTTGCTGACAGCTTCAGTGGGTCCCTCCGGCTCATTTTAAGTGGTTCACATTGCTAGGTCTACATCTGTGCTCATGAGGCATGGATCAAGATGCAGTTGTACCAACAGAACGAGGAACTACGACATGGTTTACAGTCAGGAAAGGGAGGCGTCAGGGCTGTATGCCGCACCATCCTCCTTCCATGTGTATGCTGAGCAAAGGCTCAGAGAAGCTGGGCTATCGGATTGGAGGAAGAGAACTCCAGCTTGCTTGCTGAAAGTGGACCGGAAGCACCTGCTGGTGATCAAAGATTGCAGCCTGCAGTGTGAACTACAACTCAGTGTAAAGAAGACCAAAGGCCTCGTAACTAGACCCACAGGCATGACAGCGGAAAGAAAGATTGAAGTTGTCAAGGATTTTGCCTTGCTTGAATACATATACAAAGCTTACTGGGTAAATCTGCCACAAGACTTCTTTAAAGTGCTGAGAAGCAAGGATGTTACTTTTAGGACGAAGGTGTGTCTGACCGGAGCCATGGTATTTTCTTTTCTTTTTTTTAACCTTTTATTAGGGGCTCTTACAACTGTTATCGCAATCCATGCACACATCAACTGTGTAAACCACATTTGTACAGCATTCTCAAAACATTTTCTCTCCATTTAAACCCATGACATTAGGTCCTCATTTTTTCCCCTCCCTCCCCGCTTCCCCCTCCCTCATGAGCCCTTGATAGTTTATAAATTGGTATTTTGTCATATCTTGCCCTGTCAGACATCTCCCTTCACCCACTTTTCGGTTGTCTGTCCCCCAGGGAGGAGGTCACATATAATTCCTTGTAATTGGTTCCCTTTCCTACCCACTCTCCCTTTACCCTCCCTCTTTCGCCACTCACACCACTGGTCCTGTAGGGCTCATCCGCCCTGGATTCCCTGTATTTCAGTTCCTATCTGTACCAGTGTACCTCCTCTGGTCTAGCCAGACTTTCAAGGTCGTATTCGAGTCATGGTAGTGGGAGCGGGGAGGAAACATTTAGGAACTAGAGGAAAAGTTGTATTTCTCATCGTTGTTACATCGCACCCTGACTGGCTCATCTCCTCCCCGAGACCCCTCTGCAAGGGGATCTCCAGTGGGAGCCATGGTATTTTCAACTGCCTCATATGTGTGTTAAAGCTAAGACACTGAATAAGAAAGACTGAAGAATAATCAATGCATTTGAATTATGGTACTGGTGAAGAATATCGAATGTGCCGTGGACTGCCAAGAGAAAAGAAACAAAATCAGTCTTGGAAGAAGTACAGCCAGAGGACTCCTTAGGGGCAAGGATGATGAGGCTTCGTATCAAGTGTGTTGGACGTTATCAGGAGAGACCAGCCTCCGAAGGCCATCATGCTTGGTAAAGTAGAAGGGCAGCAAGGATGAGGAAGACCCTGAACAGATGGGATTTATACAGCAGCTGCAACAATGCGCTGAAACACAGGAACATCTCTGAGGATGGCAAGGGTCTGGCCAGTGTTACATTCTGTTGTACATCAGGTAGCTAAGTGGGAACCGACTGGGTGGCCCTTACCACCTTGTGTAGCTCAAAGTCAGGTATGGCCCCACACCATTTCTTCAATTTAATTTACACAAACTCAGCCAACAGCAAAACAAACAAGACCATGCTAAGAGAAAAACTAACCATTCGAATAGTGCATTTTTGAGTCTATGCCCCAAAGAAAATAAGTGTGAATTTAGGAATTTCTCTAAGCCACTCCTGGTAGAAACACCTACACGACTCAAAAAAAAGGCCAGTGTTTAACAGTGCGTGGCTTCCTACTGTTCTAACAAAATATCAACTCCAATCAACTTTTCAACAAGTCATCTCTTCGAACCATTAAAGGCAAAATAGCTATGGCACTTACTGAGAAATGTTGTCAACAGGGTTTTTCCAAGTTCACCAGGCCATATATATATATATGTTTTGCCATATTCTATTTGATGGCCTTACCTATAAAAATAACATCTTCTGTGTAATATGGGTGGCTCCATTTGTTAATTTTGCCTAGCATGTTGGATATCCACCAGGTCTTTTTGTGCCGTGATTTAATATTCTAAACTGTACTGTTGTAAGTTATTACTAGCATGTTATTGATATCCCAGTGGACAACTGCCTACCACAGATAATAGTAGTCTGCTTTCCTTTTTCAGTTGGGAAGACGACTCATCTTTCGCTCAAGACCTCTTTCCGATGACAAGCGTGTGTTGCAACTTGGCGGTGACACAACAAAAAACCTGGAGGAAGAGTATTTTTTTACTTGAATGGGCCAGTGAGGCATCGTATTGCAATGTTTTTTAGGCATTTTGCGGATTTTGGTTTTCAGTAAGGGCACTATTCTGTCCTCTGCTGGTCTGACCGATTTGAGCAAGGCTTTGATATTAAAGGTTATAGGAATGTCTTGTTGAACAATTTTGTGAGATTGTTTTTATTTCCCATGCTGTTCTTTTCAGGGAGAACCAAGCTTTGACCTAATGACAACTCACAATTCCTGCCATGCTCTACCACCATGCTCAGTTTACCTTTTGTGTGGTGTGCCAAGCTGTCTCAGGTGCCTAGGTATATAATATGCATTCATTAGCTTATCATCATGACAGAGAGTTAACAGGCAACTTACTGAGTACTTACTTAGTATTTTACTAAGTAAAATACTACATGTAATAATACTAGGATGATGCTGAGATTTATAAAGGTCAAAAAACAATGTGTTCTGTGAATAATAGCTCAAATGTTTCACTACTCGACCTTTCTAAATATAATTCAAATGTAAACATGAAGGATTCAAAAGTCAACTTGAAAAACAAACAAATCTTTATTGCCTAGAAATATACATATAAAAAACCCACAAAAGATGTTATTCTCTCATTTCTCCATCTTCTTCCTCTTCTTCAACACCTCTGATATAAAGAACATTATTACACCTGCAAAAAAGAAAAATAGTCCATTTTTGGTTGTTCCAACAGAAAACCAGATAGCTCAGAAGCACTATCTTATTAAAAAAATACAGAAAGCTAAATTTACAAGCTATTATTTCTTTCACTTTTTGAAGAAGTTTTAACCATTGGCTTGAGCTAAAAGGACGTGGCATTCATGTTTAACATGCAGTTGTCACAAATGGCATCTGAAGCTTCCAAAGGGAGCGTGGCAGTTTGCGGTTAGTTCTGTAGTATACTGGAGACCCCAATAGCACCAAAACCTACCTAGTACTGAGCCACGCTCTTACAGGAGAGGCAGGGAAAACCCAAGACCCTTCAGCTCAGACCTAGGAAGTTTCAACTCAGGAAGAGCGATCGGAATAATAGCTGTGACATCTTTAAACCTTTGACAAGTTTAACAATTTCAATGACACTGATGTCCAATTGACTATTAATAACAATTCTTAATTCTGAAGTTGAGAGACACTGGTACATTTAAATAAGTACATCTAATGCTCACCAGTAATTTCTTACATATCGTACTACTTTGTTACCTTATTAAAACTTCACCCAGATGTCCAGACAATGCCCCATCTATGTATTCTTCTGTATTTGCAAGCTTTAAATAGAAAGGAAATTTATTAGTATAATTTATAAACAACCAACCCACTACTGTCATGCAGTTTCTGACTCATATCAATCCCACAGGGTAGAGTAGAACTGCCTTTGAGGCTATAAATCTTCATAGGCGCAGAAAGCTTCCTCTTTCTCCTACAGAGCAGCGAGTGGGTTTGAACCACTGACCTTGCAGTTAGTAGCTCAACATGCCACAAGATAAAAATACTGTAACAACACATTTAATATCAGTGAAAGAACTAATTAACTGAGACTTTTCCATATCAACAACTCACATAATCTATAATCAATAATTAGAGAGTATTGCCAAGGTAGTATTTTGGGGTTTCATACAAATATCCCCTAAAGTTAACATTGACTGACATAGAACATGTTATACAGGAGGGCTTAAAAAATGTTCATGGAAAAATGCTATTCCATTTTCCAAAAAAGTTTCAAAGCCCCCCCCCCCCCCCCCCACAATAATAAAGCTTCAGCATAATTTCCAAAATCTCCTAGGTTATATTTCTCCTACGGGGCACTGAAAGAGCATGCTGAATAAGATAGTCTCTGATCACAAATAAGATGAACTTTCCCTAGAGTTCAGCTCTCGAGAGCTAGGTACTGACCTTTCCCTAATACTGTTGTGACTCATAGTTAGGTACCCAAAAAGGTATACAAAATCTATGGCTAAAATAGTAAATCTTTTGGTCAACAACCAAACACAAAGAACTAAACCACTTTTACACCCACAATATATTATGATTAAATTGAGAGCCGTGTGGAGTTATTTACAGGAACTATGTTGTTAATTTTATGAAAAATACTTAACTTTCTTTCAAATAGGGAACTAACTTTACTGGTAATTAAAAAAAACCAACCACAATCAGTGCCATCTGGAGGTCACAAGAGCAATGAAGGAAAGGAGAGGGGATAACCAGGCAAGTGGCAAAGAACAGGCTCAACGAGCATTTACAATCGTTCAATACATGAAGGCAGATACTGGATGTTCTATTCTCTTTCATAGAAAACATAAAGCATCCTCATATCCAGAGGACGTGGCTGCTAAGGGACAAATCGTTTTACATGTAACAAACATCAGAAATAATATAGTTTAAGATCACCTATTCTGAAAATAGTGATTTGGGGCCAAAGTTCCCCAGCATTTAATTGGCTTCTATATTATACATTAATTCTCACAATACTTATCACACTTAAAATAGATAAACAAACGAAGCGCCTCCCAGGGGTTGAAAGACTGTACGTGGCTATCAGACCAACAGAACTTTCTATCATTCTCTTCCTAACTGCTTCTGAAAGAGCTGCTGTCACCTTCTTGTGACATGGAAAAGCATGGGCCCACCACAGGGTCTTTGTGCGTGCGCCTTTGTAGTCCCTGCTGGCTGCCTGCTCCTGCAAAGTGGGATGCTCTTCCCCCAGATACCTGCCTCACACGCTTGCTTCCAGTCTGTTTAAATTTCTTCTTCCGAGAAGCTTTCTCTGGCCATCTAACTATTGATACACACGGTCACTCGATTCCTTTGTTCTGCTCTATTTCTCTTCAAAGCATCATTACCTGGCATCAAACTCCATTACCACCTCCAAGCACTAAGACATAAGACCCTTAAGGGCGGGGACCTTTGTTTTTGGTTCATTGCTAGAATCACCAGGCAAGGCACATAAGGGTGCTCAATAAATTGTTACTGAGGAAATCAATCAAAATTTTATCAGTGTGGTTGGTTAGTTAGGGATACATTTTGCATCTCATTCTGACTTGGTCACTAGGAAGCTGTGTCACTTTTTTACTTACTCTTGGAATACATGGAGTCACGGTACACCTGGTTAGGTAACCTTTACAATATATACGACTCATCAGTGGCTGCATTGTCGGTTCATGTCATGTCTTGGATCTTGTATAAGAACAGTTATGAAATCTTCCTGGCCTTGGCTTTGTTCCTGATTATGATTTATGTTTATTGATTTCATGGCATGCATTCCTATAAACCACATGAAGCCCTCAAAATAAGGTGGAACAAAGTAAATGCCACTTTAAAATCTCTGCTAGCTCTTGAGCTTACCTGCATGTTCATGTAGCCATCTACAGACACCAGGTAGCCCTTGTACTCCATTCCCCACTTCAGTTTCACCATCACTGGCTTTCCTGTTAGTCCGTTCAGGAACGGTTTGGGATTGAGGGGTAAACTCTGCAAAGAAAAAAAGGGAGAGGAGGTGAATTTGGGGCTTCTGCCACCCATTCTCCCCTACCAACTCAACAACTGATACTTTATAATAGCCCAAAGATACATGCTACTTAGAAAGGGAGGAAGGACTAATTAATCCCAAGAAAAGGGCATCCTGCTCGATAGAGTGACAACAAAAAAGACGACGACCTGCAAAAACATGGGCTGAAACAGTGGCTACACCACTGGGCTCGACCACAGCATCAACGTGAAGATGGTGCAGAACCAGGAGACGTTTCGGACATGAGGTTGCCATGGCGATGCATCAGCGCGGACTCAACAGCACCACAGCAATAACAAACGAGGCCAATTCTGGACTCCTCTCACTTTTAAATTATGAAAATTATTACATAATTTTCACTATTCGTTGAAAAGCATCAGGAAAATTTAACCAACCAATTAGTCAGTTTCATCTTCTACACTGTCAGTGGTTGTCATTATTCACTTAACCACTGTTCTAGGCTCTCAAAAAACAATGTTGAAGGCACTTAGGAAAAATAAAGACGATATAGCTACAGCCCTCAAAAAGCTGACAGTCATGGGCCAGGGAGAGAGCGTGATCGACAAATAAATGCAACTTATTACGAGATCAGCAGTGAGAACCGACCCAGTCCATGGGAGAGAGGAGACATCTGAAATAAATAATGTCTGTTTTAATGGATGAGCAATGTTTCCAGGGAGGGCAACATGTCATACCACTAGGCAGAGGAAGCCACAGCTATCAAAGCAGATAAGGCGAAAGCAACCAGGTGAGCTCCAATCAAACAGTTGTTGTAGTCAGCTTCAATTCATGGAAACCCCAGGTGAGCAAAGTAGAAGTGAACTGCAGGCACTGAGGTTAGTGGAGACCCCTAAGGTAAGCTTAGAGATAACACGTCAGTGTTGGCAACGCTTCCCAAAGGAGGCTATAGATGTTGGGGCCAGAACATCCCACTTTGATTCCAGGGGCTAGGGCTAGGTTGTGTTTGACTTTGTATCAGGAGTGGCAATGAGTCCTGTTGGTGTAGTGGCTGCTAACCACCAGGCCCGCAGTTCAAACCCACCAGCCTCTTGGAGGAAGAATGATGAGGCTGTCTACTCCCATAAAGGTAGTGGTTACATTTTGAGTGGCAGCTCCTTGGGGGAGAAAGATGAGTCTTCCTACTCCAATACAGTTACAGTCTCAAAAACCCACAGGGGCAGTTGTGCCCTGTCCTACTGGGTCATTATGAGTTAGAATCAACGTGATGGCATGGCAGTGTTGGTGTTTTAAATCACTAGTGCCTCACTGGGCCTGCTGCAGGTGGTGGGCACTCACTGAATGCTTGTTTATTCAGCAGATCAGTTGGTTTCCCAGTGAATTCATACTTTTCTCCTTCACTCAGCTGCATCCTCATCAGGCCCAATGTAAAAAGGAACCAAGAAACGTGTCTACACAACGCTCTGGATATGCATATTCTGAGCGATCTGAATGGGCAGTTTTCACTCCTCTCGCTCTCTCTAGGTTACCCATACAATAACTTAACATCCTCTTCCTCCTATTCCTTAAGGGGCCGTGTTTCAGACCACTTAAGCCTCGGGCCAAAGCCCTGACCGCCTAGCTAACAAGTATGAAGCAACCGGGTTCGGGGGCACCCATCATTATGCTCATTTGCTGCGATCTGATGAGTGCCTGTCGCCCGGCTTCTCAGGGGCGCGCGAGCTCACTGAAGGTTGGCGGGACGAACAAATGACCGTTCCAAGGACTGTGCTTTGGCTGCCCGGGGGGCTGCGGCGCCTCCATCAAATGAATGGAAGGGCTTCCTGGCGCGCCCCACCGCTTCTCTCCTCCGGCGCGTGGTCGCAGGCAGGAGGGAATGTCGGGGCGAGGCTCAACTGAGACGGGGGCCAAGGAAAGCAGGAAGCCCCCGGGGAGAGAGAGGCACCAGGGGGCCCTCGCAAAGTCCCCGGCTCGCGAAGCACGAGCGCCCCAAGCCCTCGCCCGGATGAATGGGGAGCGCGCGAAACCACGGCAGGCCTGGCGGACAGGCTCGGCCGCCCGCTCTCCCGGCCACTCACGCCCGCCTTACCATCGCGACTCCCGGCGAGCGGTGCAGGCTCCTCGCCGCCGACTCAGCTGCCGCCCGGCCCTCGTGACTGAAGCAGCGGATCTAGGCCCCGCGTCGCGGCGCTACGAGAGAAATGGCCGCCAAAAAGCAGTCTGACCTTTCACCTCCGACCACAGTACCGCCGGCTCCTTTGATTGGACGCAAAGAGATCCGTGCTGATTGGAGCAGGCGGCTGGCGGCGTTTCCTGGCAACCGGCGGCGTGCCTCCTGGCTGACCGACCGGTGGAAACACTCCTGCGAGCTTGCAAAGGCCAGGAGGACCCCCCGCCTCCAGGTTTTCTTTGCTCCCCAACTGCGGCCAAGGGACTGGAGCTGGGGGTGCTGCCTCCCCGGCGGGAGATGCTCTCTGTCTAATTTGAGTCAAAATGGACTCTCTGGCTGTGAGTTTGGGGGAGGGACGTGATTTCCGGACAACTTCGCTAACAAAGGTTTTCTGTGTACTTTTACTCCGGCGAGAACGAGTTTGAGAGCCTCAGATGGCTTCCTCCTGTTCCCCCAGATTCTGTAACTTACGGGTTCCTCTGCCCCGGTCCCCTTGTGCCTGATCGCTACCTACTGACGCCCATTTCGACCCACTGTCTACGAAGTGGGAGGGCAAAACTCGCCCTTCACCCACTCCTTGCGGTCGGGCTCCTGCCTCGTGCTGCCGCGGAGCTGCTGGCTGATGCTTTCAAACTGCCGACCTTGCCGTTCCAGCCCAACTCGGAACCACTGGGGCTCCTGCCGAAAACAAGCAAACTGCCACGTAGTGGAGCGGGACTCATAGTGACCCTATGGGGCAGGATGGAGTGAATGACCCCGGGGGATTTCCCAAACGAACTCTTCGCAGGAGTAGAAAGTGATTGGCGGCTTTCAAACTGCTGACCCTGCGGTTTGGTGTATAAAAAAGCAGAGGCCGGAAAGACAGCACGTGACCACACAGGCAAATAGATTTGTGAGCAGCAAAGGGACACCCAGGGTGGCAACAGCCACCTGAGACCAGGGCATCAAGCGGCCATGAGTGCATATGAGTGTGTGGGTGAGCATCCTGTGCTTCCGGCTATGCACACACGCATATGTGTACAATGTGCAGTTCTCTCCAAAAATAGGTAACCGATCAGTGTCCTAAATGACAACAACCAGCAGATAAGAGTTGCAAAGTCTTCAAGCAGCAATTAGCGAGCCAGCCGGAGGCCCAGCCAGAGCTGGAGAGCTTGGGGTTGGCAGGGGACTTGTTTCGCTAAATCGTTTTGTGCGGACTGGACACTACGACTGAACGGGGCCTGGAAAGACAGTGTCAAGTCCGGGAGTGACAATAAACCCAGCTGGGCCTCCGTTTGAGGCGCCAGCAAGTTAGGAACAAAAGCAGCCTAGGAAAGGTGAAACCCCCAGAAGAAAGGTGCAGAATTAATTTCAGATGCGGTCAAGTCGGGTCGCACACTCTCTGTCCTGTTTCCTTTTCATTGCCAGTCGTTTTTACTTCGTTTATAATTTCGGAGGTGGGTGGTTTACTCCACAGATGAGCCTTTCACTATAACTTTCTCAGACCCTCATTTGTCCTTTCCTTTTACCCTGCTCTGCACAGCTCATTCTAAGGGCAGTATTGCTTTTTGCTACCTCTGGGACACGAATGTAGAGTTGAGGATTCGGAAATGTGGGTTTCTTAGCATTATGGTGTCATAGGTAAGCCTTGGAGGGGCCTGGTTTCAGAAGCTTGGTCCATCCCTGTTAAACCCCTCACACCAAACTCACCGCCCTCCAGTCAATTCCGATTGGGCCTTTGTTTCCTTCGTTTCCTCATTGGCTGATGGCCTCTGAACACTCCCAAAACACAGAAAGTGGAAAAAATGCAGGGCTCGGCAGGGCTGCGGAAGCTTTCCAGGGGATTAAATAGCAGGAAGGTGAAGGGAGAGAGAGTGTGACCCACCTCCGGGGAGAAAACAAGGAAGAGGCTAGCCTCAGCCATTTATCTCTGCTATCCTCAAATCAAGCTGTGGCCTGATTTACAGGCTAAGCTCACAAAACCCTAACTATCACACATTCCAAGTATGACTTTTATTTTTAGCTGTGTCTCAGTGAAGGGAAGCAAATCTTACAGCAATCTGTGTCAAGACAGCAGCAAGCAAATCACTGTTGTGAGTTAATTCCAATTCCTTTAATTTTACAAAAGACCAAATAACAGAGTAGACCTGCCCCATTGGGTTATCAAGACCTTAGATCTTTACAGGAGCAGACAACCTCATCTTTCTCCCTCAGAGCAACTGGCGGGTTCAAACTACTGACCTTGTGGTTAGCAGCTCTATCCACAGTCTACTACACCACCAAAGATGTTGTTAGGTGCTGTCCAGTTGGTCCTAACTCAGTGACCCTGTGTACAACAGAATGAAATACCTCCTGGTCCTGAGCCAGCCTATGCTTGTTCCTGTACTTGAACCCGTTGTTGCACCCACTCTGTCGACCCGTCTCCTTGAGAGTCTTCCACCTTTTCATTGCCCTCTACTTTGGAAACATGATGCCTTTCTCCAGGGACTGGTCTTTCATGACAACATGTCCAAAGTACTTGAGACAAAGTCTCACTATCCTTGCCTCTAAGGAGCATTCTGGCTGTACTTCTTCTAAGACAGATTAGTTTATTCTTTTGGTAATTCATAGTACTTTCAATATTATTCTCCTATATCACCATTCAAATGCATTGATTCTTCTTCGGTCTTCTTTAGTCGATGCCCAACTTTCACATGCATGTGAGGCAAACGAAAATACTTTGGGTTGGGTCAGGCGCACCTTAGTCTTCAATGTAACATCCTTGCTTTTCAACCCTCTAAAGAGATCTTGTGCAGCAGATGTACCTAATGCAACACATCTTTTGATCTCTTTGACTACTGCTTCCATAGGCATTCATTGTGAATCCAAGCAAGACAAAATCCTTGACAATGTCAGCCTTTCCCCCATTTTTCATGACCTTCCCTTTTGGTCCAATTGTGAGAATTTGGTCTTCTTTACAGTGGGTTGTAATCCATACTGCGGCTGCAACCCTTGATCATCATCAGCAAGTGAGGGTCCTCCTCACTTTGAGCAAGCAAGGTTGTACCATCTGCATATGGCAGGTTTCTAATGAGACTTCCTCCAGTCCCCATGGTGTATTCTTCAGACGAGCCAGCTTCTTAGATGATTTGCTCAGCATGCAGATTGAATAAGTATGATTAGAGGACACAAACCTGAGTTGATTTTTCTCATGGAAAATACTAATTTAATATACCTTGGATATTAATAAGGTCATTTGTTCCAATAACAATTGATGTACAGTGAACCCTCGCCACTTCGCGCTTCGAATTCCGCGGCTTCACTCTATCG